CTCGGATCGGCGCTGTAACCCTCTGCCGGGGAGAGGGTTTTCAGCGCAGATGTCGGGAGCCTCGAGACGGGGGTCAGTGCAGACGGGGGTCAGCCTGGGCACCGGATCCTGCAGGATCCTGCGAAGACCCTCTCTGGTTGACCCGGGTTAGCGAGCCGCTCGTGGCCGCGAGGCGGCCGCGCCTATTGGCCGACCCGGGTTTGCGAAGACCTGCGCTGCAGTTTTTTTTCTTGCATTACAGTTTTTGGTTTCCTGCTGACCCGGGTCTGGATTGACCCAGGTCAGAAGATCCCCGGAGATGAGAAAAATCCGCGCGGACCGTCAGAAGTTCATGTTTATTCAGTTTTGCTCTTCTGAAGGCAGGACCATTCAAAGAGCACTATTTGAAGAAAGGCCTCGTGCGGAGAGTCGACGCTGACTCGATGACTGCCCATGTCGACGTAGATGGGGGGCCAACTGTGAAGGCTGTGCCTCAACGCGTGCTTGAAACTGTGGTGTCTAAAGGTTGCGCACAAGTCGAGATTGTCCGCGGACCGCATCGAGGCAATGTAGTAACATTAATAGAGCGTGATGCAAAGCGCAACCTTGCGATTGTCATGCAGGGTGCGAACGATACTTCTCGGCTCGAAGTGGCCCTCGACGACGTCTGCGAGTTCAAGCACTGACTATGCGTCCGCCCGCGTGCAAGGTCGGAGGCCTAGAGTTTGACACCAACACCAATATCGGCGATGTGCCTCCACCGAGGGAAGATGATCCCGATCTCGTTAATGGTGATCAGATTCGGGCTTGGAAGATTACCACCAACACCAAAATCTGGAATCACCTCCCCCTGGTGGAGGCAACCCTCGGTGTTGGTGCTGGTGTCCATGTCTCAGCCTCCAGCAAGGACCGTCGTTATCTAATCCATGCGCAGCTCAGTCAGCTCCGCCTTGGCTCGGCGGCGCGCCCGGGGGGGAAGGCCGAAGGGGCGGGCCTTCTCGGAAGGCTCAGCAAGCCTCCGGCCCTGTGCGAAGCTTGCTGAGCTTTCTCCGAAGCCTTGCCGCCTTCTTCGGGGGGTCGCAGAGGGAACTGTTATCACAAGGGGGGGCCTTGGGAACGCGCCCAGCTGGATGCTCCTGTTCAACGCGTTTCCTTCTTCCAGGGGCCGGTCGGAGCGATTCCCTTACCAACCCCACCTTCTGTCCCTACCCCACCTTTGTGCCCCCCCGATCCGAAGCCCTGCCGCCTTCTCAGAAGGCTTGCCCCCTCTCGGACGTGTTGTGGCCTTTGGATCAAAACTCGGCTCTCCCGTGGCCTCTCGGGATGATCGGGGCAGCCCCGGAACGCTGTTGGCGAGGCGCAGCCGCTGGAACGCATCCCGAGGCTAGCAAACCACCGAAAAGCCACGAAAACATACGACAGCCTCCAACCTCGAACCCCCCCCCCCCTGAGACCCCTGGACCTCCCCCTGGGGTGCGTTCTGCCTGGAGCTTGAAGCCAGGTCCGGCCGTGGCCACGAGGGCGCCCCATGACGATGAAAAACGGTCAGGCAGCGGCGAAGAGTCCGATCCTCGAACCTCGAGCCTCTGAGCACATACTCCCCGAAGAGCCTCGAACCTCTGAGCTTCCAGCCCGAAGCTCCCACACCCACACCCCTCGGCTCGCCGCCGATCGACGGAGGCGCCGTGCTGCTGGAGGGCTGCTCCCCTGGCGTCGCCTCCTGCGCCCGCCATGCGCGCGGGCTCGGGCCGCGCTCGCCACCTCGAGTGCGGCGGCTGCGCCGGGCCGCTCGAGGGGGAAGCACCCGGTGGGGCCGCGCGTCAGGGACCGGCTGCTCCTTGTCCGAGTACCGTCGACCCGCATAACAGGGATCGGCAGCCCTTCCCAAGGGTACCCTTGCATCCTTGCCCCTTCGGCCTGCCCTTAGCGACTTTCGTTGGCCACGCCCCGCTCGAAAAGCTTCGAGATGGCCCTCCAAGGCCCTTGCAGCCTTATCGCACATCCTTATGATACGGGCCGACTGTACCCCTGGGTCGCTTCGCCTCGCGCGCTGCGCGGTGACTTCTCACGTCCGTCAAAAGGAGGTTTCTGCGTTCAGGGCGCTCTGGGCTGCCCCCCAGTCGCACCTCGCACGCGGGTCTTCAGGGATGGGCCTCTTCCGCGGACGACTTGTGTACACCGTACCGCTCTGGCGTCTCTCGAGGCTTCGCCGATCCTTGACGCCGGAACGGTACGGTGCATGGTTTTGATGCCTTCGGAGCGGAGGAACTGCGAACCATACCGCGTTGGAGTGGGGCCGGACGGGGGGGTCCAGACATGGTACAGTGCATGGGCGCCGTTCTCGTAGTTCTTGCGAGGGGTTTCTTGCGGCCGCGCCCGCACTGTAAATTCGGCGCGTAGATCGCTGGAGGGTTCCAGGAGCCAGATCCCTCGCGTCGTGGAAAAACCCAAAGGACGGTTTTGTTGCTGTTGATTCCCATGTTTGGCCTCTGGGGGCCCTCTTCGAGCCCCAGGACCGCCAAAGAACGACTCGGTATGAGAAGCCAGTCCCAGGGAAGGGGTCGAGACCTCTGGGGGTCGACGCTGTGAAACAAAGCATATGACTTCGGGAGTCTGGGCGGACCTCTCCTTCGGCGCATCTCGGCTACGCGTACCCGTTGGTCGTTGAAAGTCGGTATGTTTGGACTCCCGGATTCCAATCTACTTTCAGCGCCTTCCTACTTCAATGATCGGGTGGCTTCACCTTTTCCATCCCCCTTAGGGGGCGGACGGAACCCAATCTACTTCAACGCCTTCCTACTGCATGCTTCTACCTACTTCTTCCGATCGATGGGTAAGAGTGCACCTCGCCAGTGAGCCTCGGCCGCCTGCCTGGGAGCGACAGGAAGGAGCATGAGGAGGAGGATGGAGGATGGAAGAGACTGGAATCTGGAATCTGGAAGTTGTCTGGGATCTGGAATCTGGAATCTTGAATTGTTCTTGAATGTTTATTGAATCTGACCTCCGATGCGGGCTCACGGAGGTCATTCCAGCGTGGGCCTGCGCGCCTGGGCTCGGCCCCACCCGCCCGCCCGAGCTGGGCACCAGAGGTCGCCTCGGTGGCGTGGGGGCGAGCCGCCTCGCCTTCGCTTTCGGGGCATCCTCCTCCTCCTCCTCCTCCTCCTCCTCCCTCCTCCTCCCTCCTCCCCCCTCCTCCTCCTCCTCCTCCTCCTCCTCCTCCTCCTCCTCCTCCCTCCTCCTCCTCCTCCTCCTCCTCCTCCTCCTCCTCCTCCTCCTCCTCCTCCTCCTCCTCCTCCATCTATCGACCTCGATCGCGCCGCGTCGTTTACACGGTTGTAACTGGAGCACCCGCCAAACTTCCAGGGCCATGGGAGTCGCGTTGGAAAAAGGAGGGAAAAGTTGCACGCCGACGTGCTTCGGGATCGGCGTGCCCGGGGTCGGCCACGTGCATGAATGTTCTGGCGAGTCATGTCCTGAGCGTCCGAGCATGAGTGGATCTGGGTGTGAGCGGGTCTGGATACGAGCAATTGAGCATGAGTGAGTCTGCGCAGGAGCGATTGGACGTGAATGGGTCTGCGTGCGAGTGAGCCTCAGCATGTGTGCCTGAGTTTGGACGGCTCTGGGTACGAGAGGCCATGAATTTGAATGAATCGAAATACGAGTTCGTTTGGACAGTCGTGAGGAGATCCTGCAATCTAGGCACCTGCGAGGTCTCCTCCCCTGCTTCCGCGGCATCCGACGATTGGGGGGCCCTTCCAGGCAGCCTGATCTTACGGGGAGGGCGCTCGTCGATAGGGGAAGGAAGAACAAGTACGTGAACAGAAAAAACTCTGAGCTTCCGCGCGCCAGGGAGGAGGGGCGTCCAGCGCCGATCTGAGAAGTCCGCGCGAACCTCCGAGTTGTTATGTTTATGTCATTGTTTGTTCCCCTGGGTGATCCTGGAGGAGCTTGCTCCCATGAGGGCGTCGGTAATGCCCAGCGACCCCAGCGCCAAATCCACGATCAGAGTTCCACTGGCTTCCGCACCCCGGATTCTTTCTCATGCGCTTCCGTAGCCAATGCCCTCACCATATCGAGGAACAGGAGTCAACAGAAGGATAGTGCACAAAACTTGTGAAAAATGACGACCTCCTCTACAGCGCTGGGAATGATTAGCTGTTTTGTCACTGTTCCCCATATGGTTTCTGCACCTGTTGTTAGACACTGCTCGCCCCGAGCTCCGCGCGGATCCCTCGGGTCGGCGCTGTGGGCCCCCCTCGGCGGCGCCTCCTGGCTCCGCGCTCCAGGGAGAGGCGCCCGGGGACGATCCAAGAAATCCTGATGCAGAGCTTTAAGATTCAGAGGAGGAAGAGGTAACCATCCCAGCGGACCTCGGATCAAGTGTGGTGATGCAGAGCTTTAAGAAACAGAGGAGGAAGAGGTATACCCATACCTCCTCTACCCTTCGCTCCTTTTCCCCTTTTTGGGGCCTCCTGGGCGGCCCTCGTCGCCAGTGCTGGATTCGCCTCGAAATTCTGGTCAGAACTCACCCCAGGAGAGGTCCGGGGAGTAGCGGTATCGGTACCTGTCAGTTTCCCCAGAGATGGCAGCTGAGCGACGCAAACTAAAAACGGGGCCGTCGGCGCCGACATTCGCGCGCAGGCTGCCCTCGTAAGGTCCCTCGGAAGCGCCCTCGTCTCCGATGTAGCACGCCGCGCTGGCGGCCCGCGTGAGCCACCGCGCAAGGTCGATATGCCATCTCGCGTAAGACCCCTTTCCTTTCGTCGTCGGGTCGACCGCCGAAGCTGCCTGGAAGGCTATCAGGGCGCTCGGGCTGGACCACTGCTCCACGGAGCGACCCTCCCGTCCCCGTGGTTGTCCACGGCAGCGGACCTGCTCAGAATCTTCTCGTGCACTACGGGCTTGCCTTCCCCGTACCTCTTCAGCCTCACGTCTATCGCGCCGCAGCTTCGTGGAGAAGCAGCGATGCAAAGGAGATGGCGGCCTGGTGGCCAGATCGCGAGATGCCCAACGCCAATTGAAAAAAATGAAGACAGCAAAGTTTCGCCCATGCGAGGTTTGATGCTCTAACTCGTAAGACGCTCAGAACGAGTAGCTCAACAATTCGCGCACGCCTGGAGGTCACGAAGCTAAATTTCTCACAGGGGAGGAAAACATGCACATTCGTTTACCGCCATGAGTCCATGAGCCCTGAACAGCATCCGCCATCCGCCATATGTTGCGCCATATGTGGATCTGCCATAGCTTGCGCCAGAAGCCCCGCGGGCAACCAAATCGCACGTTCCCATAATCGGTCTCACAGTGAATGGTGGATCTGCCATGGGTTGCTCCTGGAAGCCCGCTCGCTCGGAAACCGCTCGCCCAGAAGATTGCTCGCCTGGATGCCCGTTCGCGAAGAAGCCGCTCGCCCGAAGACCGCTCGCCCGGAGACCGCTCTTCCGAAAACCCGCTCGCCCCGAAGCCCGCTGGCCTAGAAGCCCGGGCGCAAGGGCACGAGGCAGGGGGGAAGCAAGTGCGTATAGAAGACGAGGAGGACGAGGAGGAAGAGGAGGAAGAGGAGGAGGAGGAAGAGAAGGAGGAGCAGGAGGAGCAGGAGGAGGAGGAGGGGGGAAGGAGAGGCAGAGGCTGACCGGGAGGCACGAGGTGGAGGCAAGGGGAAAGCACAGGCGCACTTTCAGACGGCTTCTTGGCGATCCTCGGGTGCAGACGCGACCGCGGCGCGCCGAGCGCGAAGCACGGCCGAGGTCGTCGGGCAGGCGGGACATGCGTGGTGCACGCTCGAGAGAGCACGCGCGAACCCTCAAAGGGCGGGTCCGGTCGGGCGGCCGCACCCTGCCGGGCGGGCGGACCCCTACGGGCGGGCCGGGCCGGGCTGGCGGGACATCAAAAAGTGCGGTGCGCACTCGGATGAGCACGCGCGAGCCCGAGTACAGGACGATGAGAGGGGGTCGTGTTCACGCGGCGGCGCCCAGGATGATGCTTAGAAAGATGGTCCCTTGGCCAGGAGCCTCCTCTGTGCTCGTTCCTTTCTCGCCCTCGGGCGCGCGCCTGGACGGTCGGCGGGCCGGACGGAGCCGAAGCGAAGCGGGCGCACCGCAGCGGGCGGGTCGGGTCGGGAGGGCGGACTCCAACGGTCGGGTCAGGTCGGCCAGGCGGGACATGAAAGTGTGGTGCAAGTTAGCTCGCTCAGGGGCAGCGAACGCGATTTGTGTTTCTGGGGCGACGGGGCAGGGGGCAATCTTTTGTAGGGCAAGAGCAAGCATGAGCAGCCCAATCGTCGGCAAGAGTGAACCTGAAATCAGAGCTTCTCGCGAAGGGCGGCTGTAAGGATTGCTGTTGACCGATCAAGCGCGCCCGCCGAGCGCACGGGGATCTGGCCCTGGAAACAACGCTGCCCCCCCCAGCGACCTTTAAGGTGCAAGTTCGTTTGAGCCCTAGTGCGCGGGTCTGGTCGAGCGAGCGGACCCGAGCGGGCGGGTCGCCACGGATCGGGCGAATCGGGCGAGCGAACCCCGGCGGCCCCCCTCGCGGGAGGTCGGGTCGGGCAGGCGGACGGCAGCGACGGCGGCGACGGCGACGACGTCGACGACGACGAAGACGGCGGCGGCGGCGGCGGTGGCGCCGGCGACGACGATTGCGACGAGGGCGACGGCGACGGCGGGACGGAGACGGGAAGCGTGCGAGGGAGGGACGATGGGAAGTAGCAGGGATGAGGGAGAAAGAGACGAGGGATGAGTGAGCGAGGGAGGTAGAGTGCAGGGACGAGAGAGGGAGTGGGGATGAGGGACGAGGGAGGGAAATACGAGGGATGAAGGGACGTCGCAGGGACGAGGGACGAGGGAGGGCTGGAGGAGGAGGAGGAGGAGGAGGAGGAGGAGGAGGAGGAGGAGGAGCAGCGTCAGTAAAGAGGAAGAGCAGCACAAGGGAGACCAGCAGCAATGAGCAGAGATCAGAAGCGCTTCCTTGAGCAAGCGTCTGCCAGAGCGTGCGACTGTTGGAGCGGGCCTCTGCCGGAGTGGTCTCCGCTGGAGCGGTCTCTGCCGGAGCGGGATGCTACCAGAGAGGGTTTCTGCCGAGGCGGGCTTCTGCCAGAGCGGGTTTTTGCCGAAGCGGGCTTCTGCCATGGAGGATTTCTCCCGGAGCGGTCTGTGCCCGAGCGGGCTTCGCCCGGAGCGGTTCTCTCTCGCGCCAGACACTCACGCACTGACTAATTGGTGCGCTCCCACATTCGGTGTCCCAGTAGGTCTTCAATAGGTTATGCCATTGGTGGGTCTGCAGTCGGTTCCGCCACACTTTGCGCCATAGGTTGCGCCAGACACCCCACGGGCAGCTAAATCGTCCGTTCCAACATTCTGTGTCCCAGCGAATCTGCCCTAGGCTGGCCATAATTGGCTCTGCTGTAGGGTGCGCCATGCACATGGTGGTAATCCAATCGTCAGTTCCAATACTCACTGTCCCAGTGGATTCGAATTGGTTGCGTCATAAGTGGGTCTGCCACAGGGTGCGCTCTAGGCTGCGGGAGACACCCCGCTGGCAATCAAGTCCTCCGTTCCCACAGTCGGCGCATTTGTTGATAATCGTACAGTTGGGAACCCTGACAGCATGTGCTGCTCTACAAAAGTATTTGTTTCTTGTGCAGGACTAACACACGCCCACCTGCGGCCAAGCTACAGTTACGGCGCTGAAGAAGGAACCTTTTTCGTTGGGGAGGCGCTCGGTGTTCCTTGATTGTTTTACAGTTCGCCCTAGGTTTTCCTGCGGTTTTTCCATCGAAAATCGAAGCTCAACCCGTGGGGGAAATGGGGCCTCGTTCTTTGTTTAGGGTTCCTTCGGTCAACGCCCCGACTGCACACCCGACGTGCGACTCCGCGATTACCAAGAATGTGGCCTCTCAGTGTGGCGAGGCGAGGAGCTCGCCCAGGCACGTAAGTACATACCTGTTGCAGCTGTCCGCACGCCTGCTGGGGAAGGCCAGGCAGTCTCAAAGGCTTTGCCCAGTGACGCGGGCACCGCCACGAGAGGGCCCGGGAACGTGGACGTCGGCCCCCCTTTTCCTCTGCCATTCCGCCATCTTGCCCGCCCATCTTGCATCAGCTCTCCTCCTCCCCTCCCCCCCCCTCCACCCGCGTAGCGCCCTGGCTCAGGAGCACGTCGGAGCGGACCCCCACCGCGTACAGCAGGTTCGCCCCGTGTCGACGCGGCGGTGACCCCAGACCCCCGACGTCATGATTTTTTCATTACGTCGACCCCTGGAGGTCCCGACCCTTTCCCCATGACCGGCTTTGCATCCTGAGTCGTTTTTTGACGCTCCCGAGGCCCGGTGAGGGCCCCCGGAGGCCGAAAATGACCGAAAACCTCCCGTCGTGATGTTTTCAGTGCCCGAGGGGTCTGGGACCCCAGCGCGAGCGCTCCAGGTTGAACGCCGGCAGTGGCCCGGAATCGGCCGATGTCGAGCCGCGCGCGCCGTCGGAGAGCCGCGACCGCTCGAGGGGGGAGAAGCGGCCCCCGCCGTGTCGGAGGCCAGCACGCCAGCACGCCGCCGCGAGGGGGAGCCCGCCGCAGCCCCGGGCGCAACGCCCGAGCTCGAGCGACGAGGGGAACAAAAAGTGGCATAAACGTAAAATCGGGGGTGGACAGAACCCCCAACAGTGACACGTCGATTAGTGGATTGTCCGTCTTCGGTTTTCGGGAGGGCGCGGCGGCCGTTATTTTCCACGCTTGCGCCCGCCAGGTTTGGGCCTCAGGTCGTTTTCACTAAACCACGTTCTACGAAAGGGAGGTCTGTCCATCCCCGATAAAAACTCGGATGTCCGCGCGGATTTCTCGGATCCGCACTGGACCCCCCTGGCGGCGCCTCCGGCGCCGCCCCTGGCGCGCTCCGCGCGCCAGAGAGGGGGGTTCAGCGCCGCTCCGAGAAATCCGCGCGGACATCCGAGCTTTTGTGTTTGTGCCACTTTTTGTTCCCCTGGCGACGGCGATGTGCAAGGCCATGTTCGCCGAGCAGGTCCCCCGGGAGAGCACGCCAACTGCAGACCGCGCCGGTCCTGGGTGGGCCCAGCTCGTGCCCGGGGTCGGCGCGCGCGCGCCCCGAGAGCTGGGCGCCGCCCTTGCATCGGGGGCGTCCAAGAGGGGGCCGGTGATTGGGGGGGCGGGCGGAGGAGGAGGAGGAGGAGGAGGAGGAGGAGGGAGGAGGAGGAGGAGGAGGAGGAGGATATCTCCGCGGAGTTCGTGGCCCCCTCTTCTCGTTTCAGCCCGCTCCTTGGCCCGCCCCCCCCCCCCCCCCCCCCCCCCCCCCCATTCGTCCGCGCACATGCCTCAGGTCTAGCGAACCCCCTCTTTGACGCCCCCCTCTTGGACGCTCCCGGTTTGGGTTCCCTCTGACCGTGCGGGGCTAGGACAAGGATAAATTTGTTCCAGAAGATCTCAAGAGTTCTCGGGATTGCTCTCACAAGGCCACGGCGCCCGATGCATCCTTCAGAACCGCCAGGTCTCAGAGATCCCCGAAAAGTCCTGGTCCGACTGTGTCCTTGTCCTGCCTTCGTCTCATCGGGGGGTCCTGTCGTGATCTGCCGCGGTGCTGAATTTTGCGTCGACGTCGGATATTTCGAGGTCCTGGCTGGTGTGTGCACCGATCTTGCGCCCAGGAGCTGGCCGGGCCAGGATCGGCTACTCGTCTCGAGCCAGAGCGGAGAGGACAAACGTCGTCGTCTATTTCATTGCGCGAGGAAGTTGCTTTCTTGCCACTATTCGGGCCTCGTGCGGCCGGTCGGGATGATTCGGGCATTCTCCGTAGCTCCCATTGACCCCCCTGTGTTATCGAAAGTACCAAACGGAATGAAGTACTTCGCGCTGGCGGATGTAGCGGGGCGATATCTTCAGCACCGCACAGAACCGCAACAAATAAGTAATGGTTGCCCCCCTCCGACCGGAAGTACTCATCCTTTTTTTCCCAACCCTCCTTGGTTGGGTATTCGTTTTCACTAGAGCAGTGTGGTCTCCACTCCTTCCTTCCTTCCTTCCT